AAACCAAACGAAATTTTTGCTTTGCTTTACTTTTTGTTTTGCTTTGCTTAAGCAAAGAAGCCCAGTGAACCTTGCCAGCTTTCAAAGGCACTTTATGTCTCTTGTTGTCTTAAAATCCTTCTGCAAGGGAACAGATCTGTTGTAGAAGAGCGGGAAAAGGGCCATAGCTGTGGAAATATGCTACTGATTCAGACCGGTTCACACGAACCGATAGTAAAAAAAAAAAAAGTAGCCTCCGATCCCCTCAACTGAGAGAGGATAAAAGACCTGGAAGGGTGGGGAGGATCGCTCCTAGTTTTTCATTTCTTCATCTTCTCAGCTGATGGGTTTGTTTGGGGTGTGTGCATTAGGGGCATGCACACACACGTGCATATGCACATGTGATCACCTACCAAACTGGTAGTGACTAAGGTAGAATCCCACTACTGGGCCACAGGCAACCAAGGAAATCCGGAGTGCATTGGAAAGATGGCTGTTCTCAGCTGGTTGTAATTTTTTTGATTCTCCTAGAAAAAAGTAATAGCCACAAGTAATTTTATGTAATTCTACTTTATCTACAAAATCTAATCAAAGCATTTTAAACCTGAATCAGTCTAAATTAAAGGGCAGTTTTCAATATCCTTTTTATGAGCATAAGCAAAGGAATTCATGCACACCCCAAATATGTTTATGCATATCAAACACTAGTTGGGGTTTCAATTAGCTGCTGTCGTGGGAGGATATGAAAAAGTAAACCTTTTGTTGCCTGTAATTTGACATGCTTCATATCTGGCTGCTGCTGGCATCTTTCTTTTCTCTGGGGTCTCCAAAAATAAGATGTATTTCCCCCAAAGTTCTTTTCAATCCTTGAATAAAGAAATCTTTTTATGGGCACGGCTGTCTGGGACGGGTGGGCTGTTTCATATTCCATGTATACTCAAATCTAATTAAAAGAAAAATCAACTCCTTATTTTAAATATTGGTTGGAAATGTTAATAGAAGAGGCGGCATAACTTTACTTTGAATTCAGATTGTAAAACACTTTTTCAATTGATAGCAGCAAGGGAGTTAGGGAACATAAGTTTGTATTCCAATTGCTGCTAAGACTAATCGCAACTTAAATAAAAATTAAACTACTTTTACTCCAAAGTGTGGTTTGTTCAACTGTTTTACCAAAGTTTATAAATGATGGTGAAAGCTTTGTGTGCAAGGTTCTGGAGAAAGATATTGTCTGTCATAAAACCCATTTGTTTCAGCTTTTTCTTAGGTCAGTGTAACTCTGAGGAGCTGAAATAAAATCAGCACTCAGGCCAGTGAATTTGTTGTGAATGAGATCTTCAGGACTTGAGTCCCAAGTGTGTGTTGCTTTGTGAAACTGAAATGCTGTTAAAAGTGGAGTGTTAATAGGTAATACTGTATAAGTGTATCTCATACTCAGATTTTCTGTATAAGCCTCAACGAGTGTTTGACTGTTGGTTGTCTTGGGTAGAAGAGTGGAACAGTTTAAACTATGGGTTGGAAATATTAATAAAAAGACTGCATAAATTTACTTTAATTCAGATCATAACATTTGTAATAATTGATGGCAATGAGGGAATTGGGGAGCCTCTGTTTGCATCCTCATCTTTGATTTACGCACAAATAATAGTATTTTAGCTAACATTTCCTGGAGGCATATAGAAGTAAATTTGCCATTAGGTGGGTGGCAAGCCAGTATTCACAAAATTCATAGAGATTTGTTTTTATTAAGAAGTGCTGCTGTTTACTTTCCCAGTTTTCCTAATGAACATATTTGGGAATCTTAAAGAGATTTAGCCTAAAATAATCCAATTTGAGTGGATTTCTCAAAGAAACAACAACATTCTGCTTGCACAAAAGAATAAAGAATTCTCTCCAACCAAAGTTGCCTTTATTAAGCCATATAGGAGGAAAGCACCTTCCAGATCAGTCTAGTTTCCTTTATCATAAATATTGCCTGCTTGAAAGCTGATTTAATTATGCAGAGCATTCTACCACATCAAGCCTGTTTAATAACAAAGTGCTTGAAGGTTTGGTGACGACATCCTAGTTCATGGGTTGTTTTAATCTTGATATTCTGCCTTAATTTGCTGCCAGGGCTGGTTCGGCCTGATATTTAATGATTGGATAACATCCCAGAATGCACTGCTTTATTTCCTCAGGGACTGGAGAAAATACTTACGTGAGCTTGACTATTTTGGCAGCTTAGTCAACTGCTTCATGGTCATTTGGAGGATGGCAAACAAGAGTTGAAGTTAAAAACAAACAAGCAAACATATTTGCCATAGGAACAAACAACATTTGGAGCTATTTTCTGGCTCAGATATTGCAGTATAAAGCTTGTGTCAACCATGTGCAGATACAATATTTTATTATTTGCAAATTTAAGTAATTTATTTCTTTTCATTAGGACTGTCTATTCAAAATTAGAAGGTTGGGTAGTGGAAGGGAAGGATGGAGCTGTGAAGGTTGTTATTCATTTTACAATGGGATGGAATTGTGTTTATTGTTAAGAGAGTGGACAGGCCACTGAATATAGGATATTACAAGCAATATGTTCTTGTTTTGTCCTCTCCAATTCCCACCTTTTTAAAAGATATTCTTTGAAGTTTGATGTCACAGTGGCTAGAATGCAGGCTACTTCTGCTGACTGCCGGCTATCTGCAGTTTGACAGTTTGAATCTCACCAGGCTCAAGGTTGACTTCCAGCCTTCTGAGGTTGGTAAAATGAGGACCCAGATTGTTGGAGGCAATATGCTAACCCTGTAAATCGCTTAGAGAGGGCTGTAAAAGCACTGTAAAGCAATATATAAGTCTAAGTGCTGTTGCTATTGCTATTTCACAGAAAGGGGAGAATGAGTCTTTCAGGAAATAAGAATCATTCCCTCTTGGCTCATTTATTTTTCTCCAAAGAAGAGTTCTTCCACTACTTCTCTGAGCATAACAATGGCAACTAGGCAGTTGCAAGAAGCAAAGCAGCTCATAATCACACTGTCTTGCATTTGGCATCCTCAGGATAACCAGACAATATCATCCTATCTATCTAGACCTTGTTTTACCTTGTAAACCTTTTTTATAGCCTTGTCAGACTAAGAGCACCACGAAAGGTTGGTAAGCAATCCATTGGTGATGGTGAGGGTGTGTTAGAACAAATTTTTTAAATGCAAGTATCCAACAAATAAAAAATGTGCTGATTATCATTGGCAGTTGATTCAAATCTGGTATTTTGTCTGAAAGAGTTTTATTGATGGCATAATTCTTTTAATCAAGATATCCCACTGGATTCTAGCTCTGTTAATTGTTACATACGTTAATAAGAGTGTATCATTGCCATTTCTTACCGAAAGCATTTGTTTTGATGCTTATGGCCTCAAAAGAGATCCAAACACTTTGGGACTTAAGTGGTAATCTAAGGATTCGAGAGCCTCTAAAGTAGGGTTTCTCAAAGCTTTACTACTGAAGCTTTGTACTTAAACTTTATAGTACTTTAAAATGTGTAAAGGCTCCCTTTGGCATTTCTGTGTAATTCTCTATTCAGGATATGCCACCTTTTAGTTCAGCCATTTGCGTACATCTCTTCACAGATTTAAGGGTGTACAAAGTTCCAAGATTTTCTAGCTAGCGTTAGGAAAGATTCCTACCAAAACCCGTCAGTTTAGATAATTCAGAAGTAGATGGACCAGTGCTGTAATTCAGGTTTCAGCAACTTCTTGTGGTCCATGTATTATACCAGAACAATGAATGGTCATTACAGTCTCATTAGTAGGAGGCATGACTGGAACAACACGTCGCACAGAGATTCTGCAAAGTAGCCTCTTTTGAGGACAAATGCTTTGAACTTCTAGCAGTCTTTACTGTTCTTTTATCTTGGTACATGGGCCATGTTTTAATCTGCCTTGGTGTAAAGTTTGGGAATCTACTTTCTTGGGGTGGATGTTATCTTCTGCCCTTGCCTTCTTACTGCTGTACTTGCTCTTTTGAAGCCAAGAGCTGTTTGTTGTGTGTGTATCCAGTAAGCTGCTCCTTGGTTTCATTATGCTACATATACAGTCCCATCCCTGTAAAGTCCTCGGGATCACAAAAGCCACTAAGGAGTGGAGACTGACAAGTCATCTCTGCATTTTGCATCTCTCCTTACCTATTTGCTCCTCCATGGGGTTTTTCTTTTCTTCTTTCTGCTGCTGGATTCAGAGCAGGAAATTTCCCAAAGATAAAATTTATGAATAGCAGGCATCTATGATCATAGCTGGTATAATCTGGCATAAAAATGAAATTTCTTGCTTTTGATTTATAATCTTCTGAAGAGCGGTAAATACCGTCTGTCTGCTTGGGCAGGTTCTGGAGGGCTGCTACATCAAGGCGCATAGGAAAATATACAAAATCTGTATAGCCATTTTAAAAAGTCAACATCTAAAATATAGCCTGCTAAATATACCCTCAAAGTACAGATTTGGAGCCAAATGCATAAAAAGAAAATAGTTGATTATGTTACCTCTTTTAAAAAGGACTTTCATATGAGGATACATATATATTTGGATTAATATCTACACAGGCAGGGGGAAAAATAGGTTAAAAAGGGTGTTGGAAATTTGTCCTGCAACCTGTTTCTATATGCATTCACTTATTACTTTTTGTCACTTTCGGTTGACTGATGTTTACTGAGTTTACAATCTGTTCAGTCTACACTTTAGCCTTCTTGCTGATTACTAGGAAACCATTTAAATTCAGCTGATTGAATATTTATTGATATGACAGGAGGTAGAAGTAGACTTGAGCAAAATTCATAAACTGAGCAACTCTAACTAATTTTGTTATACTATTTATTAATATGAAAGTCCTTTGGAGTAGCCACAATTCATAGTTAGCTGGAATTATTTTTGTTTTTGGAATGGCTGATTGGAAATACAGACTTGAGAAAATGGCTCTACAGGTTTTTAGAGGTATTACGGACAAGGCCTTCAGACAACTTGAATTCACAGCTCTTTTTTCTCCTCTTGTTTCAGGTTGAAGAACGTTCCAGACTTAACCGGCAAAGTTCCCCAGCCATGCCTCACAAGGTGGCAAACAGAATTTCTGACCCAAACCTTCCACCTCGATCAGAATCCTTTAGTATTAGCGGGGTGCAGCCTGCTCGGACACCACCCATGTTGCGATCAGTGGATCCACAGGTATTGTGTCTTAGTAAAGCCTCGTGTTCTTTGCTTCTCAGATACAGCTCAGGCAAGAATGTGACAGATTATTTTCATCAAAGGTAATGTCATCTCTAAACAATTATCCTGTTCAACAAACATTAACATTTCAGAACAACGCTGTCAAATTCTGCTTGTAGTTTGACTAATTCAGTTCCACTACCCAGGGTCTGTTTTCTCCTCGTCCCCTTATCTGAGAGGAAAATAAAAAATGTAGTCTAGCTGTCACAACCACCATATTATCCTCTGGATAGAGAATTATAATGAAAATAAAATTAGGGATTTTTACTCATTCTGATATTAAAGTTAGTAGAACAGTAGCTATCTCTCCATTGTTTGAGGTCATTCAGACCTAAGAGATGTTCATGAAAATGCTGTTTGAGGAGGCTGATGAATAAGAAGCACATCCCTTACTTTTCTGGGAGAAAATGTAATCCACGAAGCTGTTTTTGAGACAGCAGATTTCATCTGGACTTGTCTCCATTGGCCTTCAGGAGAAAAAGCAGTGGCAGTGGAAATTTTTGGATGGCTGAGTGACCAGAAATAACAGTGGGGAAGTCATGATGGGTTAGAAAGAGAACTTGTAGGCAAGATAGGGAGGCAATGTGGGTCAAATCTTGACCAAAAATCAGTCCTTCTGCACTTGTGATTTAGACAGTCAAACACACATTGAGGTAACCATACGGTTGGGGGAATGAAAAATGTTATCAATCTGTTCTTAACCTTTTTCTTTGGGAGAGAGGTCAAAAGTCAAGTCATAAGGAAACATGCTCCAGGAACTCTGATAAAGAGGAATGTTTAAATAGTGTTTCCAGTAATGTGGAATTGTGTCTTATCATTTTATTTTTTGGGATAAAACGCAGTGGCATGCATAATCAGAATATCTCGTTCAAATAACATAGATTTCATTATTATTTAAAAAGCCTAGTCCCTGTGAAGCTATTCTGGAATGCCCACATGTTTGTCACACGCTCCAAACTCCACATAATTATATATGTTATATATGCAAATTATATATTTGCATAATACATATTTAAATAAATTGTGAATGTGGCATAATGGAAGTATATACTGTAAGATATCGGCATATTTGATGGATATCCTGAAAATCTCCTCTGGAGCAAAATTTGGATTTGTTGCCTCTTAGAGGCAACTCCTTGGTAATATGAGTGAAATTAATAGTACCATATTTGTCTTTGCATTTCCATGGTTCCATTCATAACCTCATCATAAGTTCCACTCCAGATCATCCATTTTTCTCCTTCATTGTGCAAAAAAAAAAAAAAAAAAACACCAACCCCACATGCTTCTACATTAGTTAGCTTGCTTACAGGGTAATAAACCAGTGGTTTCCATGAAAGAGAAATTAGAAGATAACATATAAAATGCTGCTTTGGTCCAGGATGGCAATTCTTCCAGCTCAGTTGTGACCCATTCTTCCAATTAAAGTACTGAAAAACAAAATATTGGCCAAGGTTTTTGTTTGTTTGTTTATGTAATAGCTTTTTTTTGCATCCTTTTTAGATGTCATTTACAGCATGGAAATTGAGTGTTTGTGTGAAAACTAAGGAAAATACATAGTGTCCAAGCCCCTTTTGTGTCAGGTGCAAGCAACCAAAACCACTTGTGAATAGTCTCAAGCAAAAGCTTTATTGTTAATCCCATTGTTACAAGAATCTTGCCAGACTGAATAAATTTCCCTGGTGAATGGTCAGATAAGGCTTCAGGGATTCACAGGGAAGTCAGGTCTGTGCCACTTTCTGCAGTGCAAGGATTCTAAGCTAAGCTCCCACTTAACGCCTCCCTCTAGTCTAGCTGGAGATTCCACCACACTTTGCCCCTAAAATAATACATAGAATTTAATATCTTAGAGGAGGTATCAATAAGCAACTGCATACAGCAGACTAAATTATGAGGTGCATTGGGGTTCTGGTTTTCCTTCTTGTGTGAACTATTAATTATTGTTGGTAAGGATTTATGGCTTAATGTATTATATAGACCCAGCTGGTATGGTGAACATACCATGGATCAGGCAAAATAAGACTTAGTGTCAACATGACCTGTGTCTGCCCAAATGATATTTAGACTCATGGCTTTATTTTCTCTTGTAGCTGTCAAACCAATTGCAAAGTTTCTTTTTCCTGTTTCTCTTTTGGCAACTCAGTGCAACCAAAATGAGGAGCCACCAGCCTTGCAGATGCCTTTCTGTACACAATTCCTAATCATTATAATGTTATAGTAATTTAAATGCAGAAAGCGTTACACTTTTTGACAACTCACCTGAAACACCTGAAAACAGCCACTCCACTTTTTGAAATGTTCTTTTAAAATAAAAAAGCTGAACACCATGGACCTGACACACCAAACCAATTGGTGGATATAACAACAATAATATATGGAAAATCAAGTTTCCTTTTTTTCTAGATATCATAGACCATGCCAAACGAAACAAACATTTCATATGTAACTTTCTTACATCATTTCATAAATAACACATTATCATTTAACTAAAAAAAATATGCTTTAATGGAACAGAATTCAGGCCAAATAAGGAATCTCATCTTTGGCATTTCCTGACCGTCATCCACTTATTATTGAACAATCTGAATTTTATTTTATTTTTTAATCAAATTCATTTTAAAAAAAACTAAAAAAAACTAAAATAAAAATTGGGGAAACATTTTTTTAAAAAAAAAAAACATGCTTCATTATACTCTTTTTAATAACTTTTTTTTCCCAATTTATACTTATGACTTTGTTTTAACTTGGTGCATAGATTCCACATCTGGTCAGTGTGAAATCCCAGGGACCTTCCTTGCCTGCCTCTCACTCACTGCATGAACAACCCACAAAGGGAATGGCTGGGTTTCAGGAAGCTCTAACGGTGACCTCTCACCGCACTGAGATGCCAAGGCAGAACTCGGACCCCACTTCTGAAAAGCCTCCTCTCCCCCCTCGTGTTGAAAAGTTTGATCGAAGTTCTTGGTTACGACAGGAAGAAGACATTCCACCAAAGGTAAAAAAAAAAAATTAAACAAAGGAATCATGCTAAGTAGCAAAATTAGGAATAGGAAATAGCTTAGACGTCTGTGGCGGCGCTGCAAATCTTTCCGGTGGCACCAGGGACTCTTTCCCAGGATGACCCTGGTGACTCCTACATTTGAAAGGGCCAAATACATTAATACTTGAGGACATGCTTCAAATTCCTTTGAGAGCAGTAACTGTAGCTCTGTGATAGACCACAAAAGGGTTCCAGGTTCAGCCTCTATTAGAATTAGAGGCTAAACCTGGAACCCTTTTGTGTTCTATCACAGAGCTTGAGTTGCCAACATCCGGATGCCCGCTAGATGGCAGCAAGGAGATACCATACATAAACTATATAATTGCTACTCTGAAGTGGTTGCCTGGTTTTGCTTTTGCTTTTTTTCAATCCAGATCTGGTAAATGTAGTCTCCAATAGTTCATTCATTCATTCATTCATTCATTCATCCATCCATTCATTCCATTTATATACTGACCAAATCCAAAGACTCTTAATTATTTGCAGTAAAACAAATACTATGAAAACAAAAGCACAGAAAATCTAGTTTCATACACGAAGAGGCAACTGAGATGGAATAGGTTGCCCTCAGAGTTTCTACCAAAGAACAAATTCATCTAGCAAATACAATGCCCATTTTCTGCAGCTGAGAAGCACCCTTGGTTTTTTTTAATACCATATCAGAGCCATTTTCCAAAAAAGTAGTTAGTGGGGCCATATGAAAATATAATTGGTTTTCAGTTTCAGTGTAATTATAATTAGAATCAATATATAATATCCCTTCTTTAGATTGCATTTAATAATTATCTCCTTTAGTCTAATTGCAGTGGACTAGACTCTAAATATTTTAGCGTGAGGTGCAACCTTATGACCTCAGGTTATGAGGCAAATGATGATGATCTGGATGAAACCAAATAAAAAATCTTTGATTTTCCATAGCTTCTTGGCACGAGTCCACTGCATAGTTAAAGAAATCCATTGGTAGCTATTGACTACCTGTTAGAGATGTGTATTAATTCAGTTTTTAAACTATAATGGCAGAAGCAATGAAGTTTTCAATCTGGAGGCACTACCTGACCTCCTCTAATGGTAGCCATGTCTTTTCTGTAAATAAGCAAGGAAGCTAATACAAAAGTTTATATTCTCATAACTTTCCTAATCTGAACCCAAAATTATTCTGGACAGGCCCTCTTTCCCATAAGAACTAAGGTCATAAAACATTGTATACAAATAATCAAAGTTAGGCAGGCTTACCAGCCCATTCTCAACTGTACAGAAAGTCTTTGACTTACAACACAACTAGGCCCAAAATTTCTGTTGCTAAGTGAGACATGCGTTAAGTGAATTATGCCCCATTTTATGACTTGTCTTGCCACGGTTAAGTGAATCACTGCAGTTGTTAAGTCAGTAACACAGTTGTGAAGTGAATCTGGTTTTCCCATTGACTTTGCTAGTCAGGAAGGTTGAAAGGTTGTAGGGACATTGAAATCATCAAATATATGAACCAGTTGCCACACATCTGGATTTTGATCGTGGGGATGCTGCAATGCATCGTAAGTGTGAAAAATTGTCATAAGTCCCTTCTTCCAGTGCCGTTGTAACTTCAAATGGTCACTAAATGAACTATCGTGTGCTGAGGAATACCTGTACGAGTTATTTTCTCACCTATATAGAAAATAAGGGCGTTTGGCTGGATTTGCTGTTCTGTCTTTAATCAAATGATCCTAGAGATGAGTTACATTGGGGTTGGGGGTTGGATTCTCTAACACAGAGGTCTCCAAACTTGGCAACTTTAAGACTTGTGGACTTCAAACTCCTAGAATTCTCCAGCCAGCTGGAGAATTATAGGAGTTGAAGTCCACAAGTCTTAAAGTTGCCAAGTTTGGAGACCCCTGCGAATGGAATACACCAGCCAAGGAAAAAAGCAGATATCGAAACCAATTATTGCTGCATGGAATCTGAGGCAGGAATAAGATATTGGTCTGAATACAAATCCTTAACAGCATTCCCCAGCATTATTTTGGCTACGGAGCTCCAGGTTACAGCATCAAGCTGTTAATAAAAAATATGCATGAGATCAGTAGACTGTGCTAGTTATATATAATATAAAAGACTGTTGCAATCATGTTGCAGAAGATGCGGCATGTCTGTCTTTTGGCTTCCCTTCCCTTTCCTCTCACTCCCAGCTTTGCATTTAGAAAAGAAACCTGCACTAAGCATAAAACTTGCCATACTGGATCAAACCTGTACGCTTTCCAGGCTGACATCATGCCTCCAGATACAATCAATATTAGTTAGAATATTGTACAAATGCTCCAGAATCTTAATGCTTTCATGATTTGATGGCAGCAGTAGCTCTCTAATTAATGTGGTTCCATAGGCACTGACTTAGAATTAAGTCCCACTGAAATACATGGGACTTTCTCCTAAGGAGGTGACTGTTGGGTTGCAGTCTAAGGCTGTGTTCCAAACTAATGCAGATACTGTTTTGTTTTCATTAAGGCTCTCATAACAACAGTGTCTCTTTCATGCAGAATCTTGGATTGCACAAATATAAACAGAAAGAAAAAACAAATAGCTGATTGATTAAATGCAGGGATGTCCCTTGTGTGTGTGTGTGTGTGTGTGTGTGTGTATGTGTGTGTGTGGTATTCAGCTTGCATCGGTGTCATGAATAATTTATATAGTATTTACCGAGAAAGATTAGGGATTGCCCCTCAGATAATTTCATTTCAAAATAAGAAGGTCACCTTAGATTCCCCAGGAACAATGGTGAAGAAAACAAGCGACGTTTTTGTGTCCAATCTTAAAAGGAGGAAATTGTCTTGAATTTGGGATTGTCTTTGCAATTAGGTAATTGACCAATAAGATGGCCACAGAGAGACTTCCAACCGGCTTAGAGATGGAGCTCTCAGTTAGCTGCATTTTAGAAGCATGACTTGTGGGTAATGTGCTAAATTGCTTGAGCTGTGACATCAACAAAAGTTTAATCCCCTGAGATTAACACTGAAAATAAATTATTCACTTGAAGTAGAGAGGCAAATAGTTATAAAGTATCCTTTTCTTTTCGAATAAAATTACATGCAGTTAGAAACAGATTGTCCATAGAGATTCTCAGTCATCTAGGTCATAGTTATCCCAAACGTGCTTTTTCAAAAGGCAACTGGATTTTATTTTTCCTTGAAGACGTTTTGCTTCAAGAAGCTCCTTCAGTCTTCAAGTAAAAATAAAGTCCAGTTACCTTTTGAAAAAAGCACCTTCAGGCCCAGATTATTTATAAAGCCTTTGTCCGTGAAGAGTGTACAACAGATTTTATTTTGAAATCTTCCGTGTATGATGTTATTCGTGAAATGCTCCATTTTATTGGCAAAGTGATTGCATTGAACACGTTGGAAGCATTAGAAAACACCCCTTATTGGAAGCACTAAAAAAATGTCCAAGTGCTGGAAACACAAGAAAATGCCTTATAGATTATCTGATGGTGACACAGAGGATTTTGTGGCACCGATGTCATGGCATACCCTCTCTTTCTGCGTTACACCAGCCCCAATAATGTCATGTTTCTCACTTCTCTTTTAAAAAAACTACAACGCACCTTTTTACATCGACATCTTTATTACTAACTCTGCCTAACATTCCATTTAAAGGATATTTTTTCCTGTGTTCTTACTCCATTTTTATTTTACTTTTTTTTCTACCATAATGATATGGTTATGGAAAATGGCCTCAAGGTTTTCTGTAATTAGAAGGATTATAAAAAATATTGTCATTCCATTATTTCTGCCACCACTAATAATAACAACACATTGTTCATCAGCTCAGCAGCAAAATCCACAGAAGTTACAGTTAGGGTACGTGTCTATTATACAACATTCACTGCATAGAACTCTGTTCCATTTTATCACATTTTAAGTCGCCATAACTGTGGAATGGAGTTACCTTCATTCCTATTCAGACCAGTTCAGAACTAATTTGTTGTTTGAGATCACAAACCATCACAGGAACATCTGTGCATAATTAAAAATCTGAATGTGTATATTATAGTCAAATCTACCTCTCATAACCATTTGTGTAAATAATCATCAAGTATTTGTATATTCATAATGTCTTTTTCTCTTTAAACAAGGCCATTGTTAAACAAGCTATTTTATGGCTTGCTTTGGAAAAGGGCTTGTATTTCAGATGTACTTTTTATGAAGGAAGATCCCAAGCTCAGTCCTTGGCATCTCTAGTAGATATAGAAAGAAAAATTTAACTAAAACTGAGTGGCAGCAAAAAAACCAACAACCTTCATCCAACTGATGGTGAACTACAGTTCCCATTATCCTTCATGACTGTGCTGGCTTTATTGTTGAGACCCAGGTTCCAATAATTAGGGATGGGCTTCAAAATTTTAGCAATGAGTTAGGTTGCTGGGTGGGCTTGCCCATGGTGTGTGTGCCCTAGTCAGCATCCTGCACCACAGTGGGGGGGGGGGGTTGCCCTCCTCGGGTTCCGGAGTTTTTCCTCGAGCCTTTGGGAAGGTAAAAACTGGCTCCCCAGGCTCTGGAACAGAGGTGGTATTCAGCAGCTTCTGACAGGTTCTGGAGAACTGGTAGAGGAAATTTGGGGTAGTTCGGAGAAGCAGCAAATACCACCTCTGACTGGCCCCACCCCCATCTGTTCTCTGCCTCCCACTGAGTCCCAACTGATCAGCTGAGTCTTCTTTGGTTGCCCTGCAAAGGAGAACAGAGCTGGAAAGCAGGTTAGTGGGGTGGGGAGGGAATGGGATTTTGCAGTATATCCTTCCCTTGCCACACCCACCGAGGATAGACAATACTGATCTAGATGAACCAATTATCTGGCTTAAAATAATGCAAGTGCAATTACATATTTGATATTCGCATCTCCGCCTTGCTTATTATTACTATATTTGTATGGCCTATCGTGCGAATGCTCCATTGAATTTCTGTACATCTTGGTTTTGAGTTAGCGACTGTTAGAATCTTCCAGTGGCTCTTAATCCCCAGGCTGACGTTAAAATCAATAGTGTTGCTGCCCTTCTACTCTGCAGTCAATGCCTCATTATAATAACAAAATACTATCCTCATTAGTGTCATTGTAATATAATAAGTCTTGGACCTGGAATCAGAAAATCCCGATTCTAGTTCCCATTCAATCATAGAAGCTCACTGGATGATAACTACAGGCCACTTGTGGCCACTCAACCCAACTCTTTTCATTGAGTTCTTGCTGTAGGGGTAAAAGAAAAGAAAGACCCCCTACGTAAGCCACTTCAAGCTCTCAAAGAAAGTGCCTTGCTTCTGATGAAAAATCAATGTTCTCTCTGTTTCCGTGGGACACATTAAGACAGTCCTCCAAAAATCTTGGAATTTTTAGTTCACATATAATACTTTCTGCAAATCAAATATTGACGTGGCAACTTAAAGATCATCAAGCTGTGATTGAAACAAGTAAGTTACCCCATGGAATTAAAATGAATGCATTTCAGATATGATATTTTATCTCCTAACAAGGTGCTGTGAAAACCAAGTGCAGTTTATAATTGCTTCATTGAAAAAAAATACTTCCATCTTTCCAGAAGAAATTAAAGCTGGCAAATTTGCCTAACCTGGTAGTCATTACCTATAATATATTGGTTATAATCTGGGAGGGTCTGTGACAATTTGCCATGGCCAACTTGCCACAGCCAACTCTCCTCAGGACAACTTGCCATGGCCAACTTGCGATGGGACAACTTGTGCATGTGCATGACAAAAATTAAAATACTTCTTATTTCTTTTAAATAATTAAATTGAATTGTTAAATTGTCCAGTGGCAATTGCCCCACAGCGAGTTGGTAGTGGTAAGTTGGCCACAGCAAGTTGTCTCATTTCAAGTCTGGGACCCTACTTCTGGCCGCAGAACTTCAGTAGCCAGCACGCTTTGGGTTTTCTTACAGGTGCCTCAACGAACTACTTCCATCTCACCTGCATTAGCTCGGAAGAACTCACCTGGGAATGGGAATGCTCTTGGACCTCGACTCGGATCACAGCCCATAAGAGCAAGGTAATGCCAACCAAGATAAAACTTAATGTTCATACATCTAAAGTACTAGAAGAGAGTACTTAGAAGAAAGTACTTAGAAGAGAGACACAGTTGAATATTCTGTGGAGGAAGAATGTCTTATTTCCTTTCCCCAACCTTCTTGTAGACAAGAGGAATGTAGCAAGTTAGGGAACCTTCTACCCTATTCAGATAGTGTTGAACAGTGGTGTTCAGTGGGAGAGCACATATTTTGCATGGCAGTTCTGTCCTTGCCATCTTTAGTTTAAAAAACGCTCAAAGGAGCATGAACATAATGGACACACGCATGGGAAGAGCCTTGCTGGTTAGAGCAAGATCCCATCAAGCTCAGTGTTGTGTCATAAACAGGTAACCAGATGTATTTGGGAAGCTCATAAATCTTCATAAAATTGTGATAGCCCTTTTTCCACTGTTGTTTCCTAGCATCTGATATTTAAGATAACAGTTACTTATTCGCTACCTGTGTTCAAGGAAGTACCTAATAATGGGTTACCAAGACAAGTAACTATTGACTGTCCTCTCCATGATTTTGTCTAGATTCCACTAAAATCTGCCTAAGCTGATGGTCCATCACAGTATCTGATGGAAGCAAATTTCACAATGTGTCTCTTAAAAAAATTTTTCCCCCAATCCCGAATCTTCCTACATGTAATTTTAGCAGATAACTACACTGTGAAATTTGGGGGAACCTATTTGCCTCCGTAGTGGCTTCAATTAGCCCCTCTTCCCTTCGGTTGACCTTGAGTTCAAAAACCCCAGTTGCTGCAGTTTTTTAATTTTCCCTTTTTTGCATCTCCTCTGGTATTGTTCCTATGTTGCCCAGCACCTTTTCAGATATTGCCTGAAGTTTTGGGGAGCCACTGGCCTTCAGAGTAGATTATTAATTTATATTTCAGATAGAAAGGTAGGTAGGTAGGTAGATAGATAGATAGATAGATAGATAGATAGATAGATAGATAGATAGATAG